GTGTACTCACTGAACTATATTCCCTGAATCTACACATGTACAGTATAATAGTGTAAAGTATTGTTATAAGTGTACGGTACAAAGTATTGTGTACACACTGAACTATATTACCTGAATCTACACATGTAGAGTATAATAGTGTAAAATATTGTTAGAGGTGTACGGTACAAAGTATGGTGTACTCACTGACCTATATTCCCTGAGTCTACAACATGTACAGTATAATAGTGTAAAATATTGGTATAAGTGTACGGTACAAAGTATTGTGTACACACTGACCTATATTCCCTGAGTCTACACATGTACAGTATAATAGTGTAAAGTATTGTTATAAGTGTACGGTACAAAGTATTGTGTACACACTGACCTATATTACCTGAGTCTACAACTGTACAGTATAATAGTGTAAAGTATTGGTATAAGTGTACGGTACAAAGTATTGTGTACACACTGACCTATATTCCCTGAATCTACAGCATGTACAGTATAATAGTGTAAAGTATTGTTATAAGTGTACGGTACAAAGTATTGTGTACACACTGACCTATATTCCCTGAATCTACAGCATGTACAGTATAATAGTGTAAAGTATTGTTATAAGTGTACGGTACAAAGTATTGTGTACTCACTGACCTATATTCCCTGAGTCTACAACATGTACAGTATAATAGTGTAAAATATTGTTAGAGGTGTACGGTACAAAGTATGGTGTACACACTGACCTATATTCCCTGAGTCTACAACATCTAACTCCATCTTTTCATTCTGAACATTCTCAAATCCACCACCACGTGTTAACCAGAGACAGGCAGCGTGCAGTATAGGCGCCCAGGTCAACTACACCAAACCACAATATTTATTTAAAGGCAGTGTTCCCACAAATATCAGAAATGGTCAAGGATAAACAAAATTTAAGTTATGAAAAACTACCTTTATAATTAATTCTATGTGACGTTATTGTGACGTTATTGCTCAACAATGGATTGTGTAACGTTCAATCTAAAGTGGTAATCAGACAACAGTGGAATAGTTATTTCTTTTAATAATGAAATGTCGCAAGGAATCTAGCAGCTTGTAACTTATCTATTTTTAAAATGTGTTCTAAATATTTCGGCGCTAACAATCACAAATTAAGTAATCCATCTCGAAATGAAGGAAACAAATAAATGTGCAATGTATATGAACGAGATTAAAACTATGCAGTAGGTGTTCCTTATAGTGTGGGCGGGCAAGCTGTATGGTATCGTTGGTATAGAAAGCTCCACCCTCATAGGGAAGCTGGGACTTAAACTCAGGCGAGAGACAGAGTAGAGCATGATCCTAAAATGTAAGAACAATTTTTTAATTGCTTGTTTGTAAAAGAAGGAACAAGAAAAATCAACTAGGGCATTTAGTAATTTTAAAATAAAAACATCAGCAATATAAAATTTCAAGGATTTTTCCCTTTTTTATTAGCGGATTTTTTTGAAAATCAAAATTATATAATTTTTATGAAATTAGAGGCAGATCAGAAACCAACTTAAAAATTCTTTTGGTCTTAATTTTTTAAAAGCATCCTACTTTTCTTTGTGAAAATACAGCTGATTATTCATACAAAGATTGTAGTCAGAGGGTTAACCACTCATTAAAGATGAGACTGTAAAGACGACCTGAAACTCTTCAATATGACGAACACAAAGTTAAATTAAGTCTTCTATTGTCTATGAATTGCTTATCAATTGCTTACATACTTTGCAAAGAAAGAAACCATTATATAGTTGCAGAGAGTACAAATGCTGTACAGCCCTCTGAGGGAGTGACAGCAATTATCAAAAATGTCAAAAATAGGAATTTCCCAAATGCCTAGGTATCTGGGAAATTTCTCAAAATGCCTGGGTATCTAGGAAATTTCCCAAATGCCTGGGTATCTGTGAAATTTCTCAAATACCCAGGCATTTGAGAAATTTCCAAAATCTTAAAAATATACCACCCTCAAATACCTATAGGAATTTGGGGAATTTCCCAAATGCGTGGGTATCTGGGAAATTTCCCAAATGCCTGTATTTGAGAAATTTCCAAAATCTTAAAAATATACCACGCTCAAATACCTACAGGAATTTGGGGAATTTCCCAAATGCCTGGGTATTTGGGAAATTTCCCAAATGCCTGGGTATCTGGGAAATTTCCCAAATGCCTAGGTTTTTGGGAAATTTCCTTTTTAAAAAAAAATGTAAATGCTGTCGTGTCATGAGCCCTCTCTGAAGTCTCATCCTTTGTGGGTAACAACAGCAAGGTTTAAAAGTTGACCTTCATGGCAGCCAGCCAGTGTTTTGACAGACTGGGTAGTTCTGTAGCAACCAGTTCAGACAAACTGTTCTCTTCCCGTGGGGATGTGGAAAAGTCCCCGAAATTATCATCATCGTCGAAATCCTCGAACGATGTGTCTTTAGCCGACTCGGAATTCATTGATACAATGTAGACCTCTGCCCAGGCCTAGGAATACAAATATCTATCTGATCTTTATTCATAATTGTTTCGTCATTTACTGTCCTGTTCTTAACCCTGCCTAACCTTTCCTTTCCTCTCCTGTCATACCATTTTTTTCCTTCCTTTCCTGTTCTACAGTGAAACCCTTAATAAAGAATACATCAAAAGAATTCATCAAATGTCGTATGCTTCACTTTCTGATAATGGAATGTTGCAGATATTTAGATTTTTAATTAAATGATTATATGGAACTCTTTAAAACTGTTCCCGCATATTCATGGCTATTTATTTATTTTCGCAAATACTGAAATATAAACTTAGTATAAAACTCATTGAAAAATTGTCAAGGCGACATTTGATAAAGTCTTCCGATGTATTCTTTATTCAGGGTTCCACTGTATCCTTTCCTGTTCTATCCTTTCTTGTTCTTTCCTTTCCTGTTCTATCCTTTCCTGATCTATCCTTTCCTGTTCTATCCTTTTATAGTCTTATCATTTCATGGCTAATCCTATCTTTGTTCTATCAGGACTGAAATTCGCAGTGAAATTTGAAGAGAATTTTAAATGTTTTGAATAGCTCATGCCCCCTTCACTGAATTGCCTTAAATTTCGGTTGGGGAACTATGAGAATGTTCTTAACTTGGTTCTAAAGTTAAAAAATGATAAGGTTGACATTTTTAGGGAGAACTTGGTTTCCAGTCACAAGCTAGTATGGAATAATATGAGTTTCCAGTCACAAGCTAGTATGGAATAATATGAGTTTCGAACCTGAAGAATAGATAGCTTCTCCAGGGTTGAAGCACTCTCATTATAGCAGTTTGAGCTGCTCCCTTTCTTTAGTTTAGACAATGAGCTGACCAGGAGCTGGTAAACCCGCTTGAGGTCGTTGAGATCTCTCACTACCCCACTGCTTATCCAGGTACTGCACACGCTACATGCTCGTGCAGTCACGTGGCTCGCCATGTCAGGTGCAAAGGCCGGACGAAGAGCGGCGCCAACTTGAGCCTAAAACAGGGTTTCTTAAGAAACTGTTAATGTTATTTTATTGTAATCTATTAAAAGAGTGCCATCTACAATCTAAACGAACTATTTTAAACTAGATGGAGACAGGTGTATCTTGGTTTTCAAAATGCAAAGATGAATATATTGCTCCAAACCAACCATTAACCAACCCCCTAGTTCCTACACACCAAAAACAATTCAACCATCCAACTTACCAATTTACAAATCATTCAACAAACCAAACATTCAACAAACCAAGCAACCAACCAACCAACCAACCAACCAACCAAGCAACCAACCAACCAAATAAAAACCAAATAAAGAAACAAAGAAATAAAAGAACGAACGAGCGAACGAACGCACGAAATAATGAACAAAGAAACAAATGAAGGAACGAACAAACGAAAGAACAAACGAACGAACGAACGAACGAACGAACGAACGAACGAACGAACGAACGAAAAAACAAACAAACAAAAAAACAAACAAACAAACGAATAAACGAAAAAGCTAAACAAACGAATGAATGAACGAATGATGTCAGCAACTAACCTGATATTGTTCTAGTATAACATGTCCTGGAAACTCTGGCTCCGGAGTCTCCGCGAACTTCTCTACCACGACCCTCAAGGTCTCCAGGCCCTCCAGCTTCAAGGGGTCAGACTCCGAGGTCGCAGCCATGAACACCATTCTCACCAACTCCGTCAAGTGGAGGACAAGGAAGTCAGATCGATGACCACCAGCCATACGCATCTGATATTAATGGTAATATAAATAAATAAATTAAAAAAGTAATGATCTATTTAAGATCCCCAATGTGGAATCCCCCGACCACCGTCGTGATAATAGGCCACATCCGCCTAAAAAAAGACAAACCATCATGTTAGTTTAGGCCGGCTGAAAGTAGAGCATTGGTAAGTATTCGATAATAATTTAGAGTTTAATCTAACATATATTAAAGCCCTACTTATTTTTGAAAAACCTTTGACACTTGAGATGCTAAGAAAGGTTAACACCATTACAAAAAGTATGTCTTATTTTTTATTTAATATACGCACAAATATGGGCACAAAATAGGCAGCGGACAAACGCAGTTACGGGTGCATGCTTGCAATCAAAATCAAATCATTTATTTCTGCAGAAAAAAAAAACAATATTTACGAATTTAGCTTTTACAAAGCTTGGGACTGTTTCAGCTGAGCCCCCCTGTTAACCAAATTCTTTAATTGAATTATAACATTAAAAAAAAACAGAGAAAGAGCAAGTTCTAGTCGCAGCGCTCGGCCCCTAGCCAGTCCTAGCCACAGCGAGCGGCCCAGAAAGTGTCTTAATCCAACCTATAACCCTAAAATATACTGATCTCTCTCTTCTTATAATTCATTGCGGTGTGCGCACGTAACTGCATTTGGCCGTTCCCCACAAAATACCTCTCTAGCTAGGGATAGATCGAAATGAGCTCTATCTCCGGAACAACAGTCGGAAATAATCTTCTTTAAACAAACAGCAGCAAACACACGTGTAGTCCACCTAGAAAAACGTTATAAATAATGGCTAGTGACCCTCCATGAAAAAGGGCATGTCCGATTTACAATGGTAACTTTAAACCTTTGTCTGATCAAAAATTGGAAAGATATTGTCGTTTTTCTAACTTCAAAGTTCTAACATTTTCATTCATTAAGTTAATACATAGCAAGTCACTTTTATACTGAGACCACAAATGAAAATAACCACTTATAAAAATCTTGGATATCTCATACATTCCTGATCAGATAAATTGAAATTCCTTTAAGGAAAATCTTATTTACTGTACAGTTCATGGTACACTGTACAGTGTACCATGAACTGTACAGTGTAGTAAAATGTATTCTTTTTAGAGAATGAGTTCAAGCCAAATTCTTCAAAAAAAAAAATTCTACCAAGATTTATAGAAATATATTTTTTCTAAATTGCAACATGCCTGGGTTGTACAGATCCCTGGGCACTGGTGTCCTCGCCTTTAGTGAATGTTGCATCATCCTCATCTACCTCCTCCCTGTCCTCCTTCCTCTCCTATACAATACATTCATTCTTTCATTTTTTCATTAATTCATTCATCCTTCCTTTCATACATTCATTCATCCTTCCTTTCATTCATTCATTCATTCATCCTTACTTTCATTCATTCATCCTTTCAATCTTGCATAAATTCATTCATTTTCTTTTAATTTTCAATTCATTCATTCTTTTTTCATTTATTGAAATATTTAAATTATCAGTTTACTATTTTATTCCCATTTTATATCTACTTTTTCTTCTTCTTTTAAATTTACCCTTTGCTTCAAGTTTACATTCTGAATACATTTTTCACATAAACTGTCCACCCCTGGTAGAATCCAAGCAGCCATCAGCTGGCTGGGTGGGGTGAGGGGGGTAACGACAAAACAAATAATATTAACATTTGGTGACCTCTTGTATATCGGAGGATGTGGTGAGGATCTCCTTTGTGAGGTTGAGCCAGGAGCTGAGGTTCTCGGAGGCCAGGTTTCCCAGGAGGCTCAGTAGGGTTTCTTCACAGTCCCGTAAAACCTATGTAAATAATGAAATAACTTTCTGAACTTTTAAAAATTTAAATTTTCTCAAATTGGAAAAAAATGTTGAGATTTTGAGGCATTTAAGGCACTTGAACATGTTGCTTTTAAAGCTTCTATTTTTCTGTTGGAATTGACGGATTTCCAAAAATTAAAAAAATCTATGAAATGTCCCGGGGCCGTTATAAACTTTGATTGGCCTCAAAGGGAGTGACCGGCTATGTAAGGTAGTTGAACTGAGTATGCAGTGTTGTGGAAAACTTCTTTCGGATTCATTTGAGACGTATTAAACTTTTTAAAGATCTGTAAATCCTGAGTTTGAGCGCAAATTCGACGTTAAAAACTCCTACTTTGGGGGTGGATACGTTTTCAGAAATAGTTTTTTTTTTTTAATTATTAAATAACGATGACATCAAACGTAAAAAAGTTCTACATAAACTACAGACGTCATGTATAGGAACATGTTGAGAAAATAAAAATTAATCTTATCATCGAAAATAAGTAATCTTGTTCAATTATTAGTTTCTATTATCTCATTATTCTGGTTTCTTATTATTCAAAAAGATTTTCGCAGATTTTCTAGAATTATTATTGAAAAGACGACATTTGAAATATTTGAAGAAATCTGCAAATAAATTCAAAGAAAAAAAGAAATTGAATATAACAATAAAATCGAAATAATCGATTTTTAGCATTGATTTATTGACAAATTTCTTTTGAGAAATATGTTCCTAACCATCTAATTAGTTCACTGTACAATTTTAATCTATTTTCGTCGTCCTTATTTAATAATTTAGAAAACCGATTCTGAAAACGTACCCATTCAAATTTTTACTTTAGTTTTCGTTGTCGTTATTTAATAATTTAAAAAAACTAATTCTGAAAACGTATCCACCCCCAAAGTATGAGTTTTTAACGTCGAATTTGCGCTCAAACTCAAGATTTACAGATCTTTAAAAAGTTTAATATGTCTCAAATGAATAAGAAAGAAGTTTTCCACAACCTGTATACTCAGTTCAACTACCATACATAGCCGATCAATTCCTTTAACCCTTCCCCGGGGCCAAGAATGTTTGACCTGTTTGTCCTCTTCCTGGTCTAGTGTTGAGAACAGTATTCCAGGTAAACCAGACTCAGAGTACGCCAGGATATTCTCAACCTAGTAGATATTATTATGTTATATAACATCTGTTATATACCATGCATCATTGCATATACCATGTATCTAGCATGTGGCAAGGTCCATGTATTATGTGCTTTGTGTCATGTGCTTTGTGTCATGTGCTTTGTGTCATGTACTTTGTGGCATGTGCTTTGTGCCATGTACTTTGTGCCATGTACTTTGTGCCATGTACTTTGTGTCATGTACTTTGTGTCATGTACTTTGTGTCATGTACTTTGTGTCATGTACTTTGTGTCATGTACTTTGTGTCATGTACTTTGTGTCATGTACTTTGTGTCATGTACTTTGTGGCATGTGCTTTGTGCCATGTACTTTGTGCCATGTACTTTGTGTCATGTACTTTGTGTCATGTACTTTGTGTCATGTACTTTGTGTCATGTACTTTGTGTCATGTACTTTGTGTTATGTACTTTGTGTTATGTACTTTGTGTCATTTGTATTATGTTGCAAATAAAATGAGTCAACAATCAGTCAGTCAATTCAATTCAATCTATTTGTCAGTTAGTTTCTCGGTTGTTGACTTGCAGACCTGATGTGTATCTTTAATCCCTGTATTGGATTCTCCAGCTGCTATATCACAGATCTCACGGGACTCACGTTGTGACAGCTGCCGTAGACAGGCGACAGCTGATCGTCGTAGAGGTAGACTACTGCTTCGTAACAGTTTTATCAATCTAGAAAACAGATATTTTACTGTACTGTACTGCACTACACTCACTGTACTGTACTGTACTGTACTGTACTGTACTGTACTGTACTGTACTGTACTGTACTGTACTGTACTGTACTGTACTGTACTGACCTGGGCACCAATGAGTACAGGTCTAGATGTCTTGGAGCAAACATATGAAGCTGCTGAAGACTGGACAGAGATTCAGACTGTACATGAGGCTCTCCAGTCTAGATAGAGAATCAAATAATTAGTACCTGTAAATATAAAAAGGCGACCTGTAATAAAATGGTTTTCTTAAAACAAAATGACTACATGTTAAAACAAAATAACTACATGTTAAAACAAAATAACTACATGTTAAAACAAAATAACTACATGTTAAAACAAAATAACTACATGTTAAAACAAAATGACTACATGTTAAAACAAAATAGCTACCTGAAAAACAAAATAGCTACCTGAAAAACAAAATAGCTACCTGAAAAACAAAATGTCTACCTAAAAAACAAAATGTCTACATGTGAAAAGCAAAATGGCTACATGTGAAAAGAAAAATGGCTACTTGTGAAAAAAAATGGCTAACTGTAAAACAAAATGGCTTCATGACAAACAAAATGGCTTCATGTAAATACAAAATGTCTACTTGTAAAAACAAAATGGTTGTCTTAATGGCTACCTGTAAAAAAATGGGCTAAATGTAAAAACAAAAAGGCTACCTGTAAATACAAAATGGCTACCTGTAAAAACAAAATGGCTACCTGAAGGATGGAGGCGGCTAGAATGATACTGTTTCTAGCCTCGGTAACACTAGCATCGTAAACAGATAACTCTGGACCAAGAGTTGTAATAATCGCCTGTACAGTCATTATCTCTTTGTAAACAGACAAGACAAGACAAGACAAACCGAGGTCTTCTTATATAAAGACTAGACAGGAAAAATAGATAATACAAGATAGATTATACAATAAACAAGAAAAAAAGAAAGACAAAATTTAAAAAAAGAGAGACATATAGATAGGATAAACAGACAGCTAGACACAAGATAGAAAGGCAATAAATATTGACATGCAGACAAGATATACAGACAGACAAAATAGAAACGCTGACAAGATATACAGACAGACAAAATAGAAACGCTGACAAGATATACAGACAGACAAAATAGAAACGCTGACAAGATATACAGACAGACAAAATAGAAACGCTGACAAGATATACAGACAGACAAAATAGAAACGCTGACAAGATGTACAGACAGACGAAATAGAAACGCCGACAAGATATACAGACAAACAAAATAGAAACGCTGACAAGATGTACTGACAGACGAAATAGAAATGCTGACAAGATGTACAGACAGGCAAAATAGAAACGCTGACAAGATAGACAGACGAAATAGAAACGCTGACAAGATATTCAGAAAGACATATAGGTCAGGCGGACAAAATTTACAAAATATTATAGCAAGATAAAAAATCCAAAGGTAAATTCTCATTTTATTCCCTACAATTGACAATTTTATAACTAAACGTAAACATTAAACAGCTATGCTTAGATCAAATAAAAGTGTTCCTTTCTCACTTGGGAACGATTTTTAAAACTAATTATTTTTTTAATTTTTACACTTGAATTTTACAATTGAAAAAGCCAAAACCAGACAATATTTTAATCATTAAACTTAATTGTCAACGTTTATTCTTGAAATAACGGCAGAAAAAAAAACAAAAAACTGCTGAAAATAAATAAACCAGTGACATCTTTTGAGAGATAAAATGCCTGAAGCAGTTTCCCCAGGCAGACAAGCACATCAGCCTGAATTACAACCAATCAGAACATGCAAAGTATATTCTTCAATCAGAGATTGTAATACCAACCTGAGTTAGTGGAGTTGTTAATAAAAGCTTTAGAAGCGATGTCAATGTGGGCTCTACATAACTCCTGCAGCAAAAAAAAAACAATTTAAAAAAATTTAAATAATTTTTGTTTCACTGATGAAAAGAAGAAATTATCAATTTCGTTTTTAAAATAACTTTTTATCTTGAAAGAAATATTCCTGCGCATTTTTTGACTACAGCATGATTTTTTTTCATCCATTTTAAGTCCAATACATTTAAAACTTATTCCTGAACCCCCCCTCCTTGCCCGGGGGGAGGGGGGGATAATTTTGAGAAAATAATGAAAAATTTCACACCCTTTCATGATTTTTATCCGTAAATCCATTTATTTTGCCCAATTCAGCGAATAAATCCTTACATTTTTGCACAAACATTCGTTTAACATTTAGGGAAAATATTCAAAATAACATACTTAACATTTAGGGAAAATATTTAATATAACATACTTAACATTTAGGGAAAANCATTTAGGGAAAATATTAATATCAAGAGGGGCCAGCGGGATAATCATTAAAGAAAAAAAAGTTTATTGTTAGTAAACTGACCTAAACATGGGACCACCAGAATCTGCCAGCAGAGCTAGAGCATGCAGGGCCCAGGCCTGGACTACAGGACTAGCAGAATCCTTAATTCAGATTAACAAATATAGATGGTGTTTTAACATTCAAACTTCCCTCCGGGGGTCCATATAATTCCATCTAATACGATCCAAAATGCTGATTGATAGATATTAATGGCAGAAATCAACCTAAGAATGTTGTTGCTGTAAACAATTGGAAGTATGGTATCAAGTTGTAGAAAAAATTCCATACTGCAGAATGTATATTTATACTGTACACGGGCAGCCGTAGTTCATTTGAATTTCCGAGCCGGGCCACCTTTCTGGTCCCAGTTTGTACTGTACCTAGCTCTATGGACAGGACTAGCCGGTGCAACAAGGTTGATGCGGTCAGACTTTATGCTTCATATAGGTTGAATTTACTTTTACGTAAGGGGCAGATTTGCGTGTGCAAGAGAGTGTTTATTTTTATGTAATGCAGTACACATTTCTGAAGTATAGTACACTTACACTAAAGAACTTGACACAGAAAGTTTATCTTCATGCCATTAATTGTAGTTTCAACACCGATCCATTTGGGATCAGAGATGGAATTATATGGACCCTGCTTCTCCACCACTCCTTTAAGTTCTAAGCTTGGTTTTCATTTCATTTCTTGCAATTTAAACCAAACAAAGTAGAAAATATTTTTTTCAATCGACTTTTTATGATTACAAAAATACTTTTAATTTCACAAAACTAGCATTAGATAGAAAAATCTTAAGAATCATAAAAATATGAAGAATAAAATCTCTGGAATGAAATCCCTGACAGCGTTAGATCTTCAAAAACAGTTTTAAGAGAAAATATGACGAGGTGTACGGTCCAAAACATATCTAAATGTTTGTGGCGAACAAAAGCCCATGAGCCGCTTTACATGGCATTGGCCACGCATGTGGCTCTCTTAGCGTGCACAAACCAAGTATAACCAAGTATAACCAAGTGTAACCAAGTGTAACCAAGTATAACCAAGTATAACCAAGTATCTTAAAAATTGAAAGAAAAAACATACCTGTGATAAAGGAAGAAGAATTGACACACTAGGTTGTATATGTTGGGAAGTACTTAGACCTAGGATATATTTATTGGCTGAAATATGTATAAACAAACAAACAAATAAATAAACAAACAAACAAATAAATAAACAAACAAACAAAACAAACAAACAAACAAACAAACACCCAAACAAAACAAACATACAAATATAAACACAGTCAACCATTCTTCATAGAAATCAGGAGAAGAAGTCTGCAGTGAAATTAGTGCAATTTTTACATACTGTTTTATTTCTAAAAAACGGTTTTCATATTTGTGTCAAATTTGTCATGAATGATGGATTTATTATTTATTTGACTTAACATTTTGAGAATATCAATTACAGGTAGGGACAGGGACAAATTCTAACAGTTTAACTTCGCTAACCAAGTACCATTGCTGGTTATTTTGAATGATTTAATATTAATTTTTCGCTGAAAAAGAATATTAAATCAAAATAAGACAAAAATAATTTTGAATTTAATAAAAGCAAAGAGATGTGGAAGGTGAAGGAACAGATTTATAAGGAGCAGATAGAAGAAGAGGTATTGAAGAATAAAGTTTAAAAATGAGGTCAGTCACAATTTTTTCAATTTTTTCATTGCTTAGGACGTATTTTATTTTGATGCGGATCCGGAACCTGGATCCGCCCTTTAAATAAAATGTATCCGGCCCGGGTAGAAGGGCATTTCTTGATGATTTGGATGATTTGGTTGGTTCCATTAAATTGTATTCAATGTTTCAAGATTTAAGCCGGCGCTCAATTAAAACCGGGTTTTGGCGGATTTGAGACGCCGCTAAAATTCATTAAATTCGGACTCTGTTGAAATTGCCCCGAAATAAACGTTAATCTAAATATTTGCTTTTCTTACACTTTGCCGAATTTTGACACTGAGAAAGAACAAAATGCAAAAAAAAAAAAAAACGCTATTTACCTCCGACATATTTGTGAATGCAGCCTAGAGCCAAAGAATGTCCAGTCCTGTTCAATATCAAAAATGAAGATTAAAAAATAAAATTTCAATGGACCTAAAAATTACATTTTATAGTTGTCTTATTATTGATTTTAACCAAGCTAAACTTGATTTAATTCATACTTAAAAAAATAAATTGTCAAAAAATTATTTTGTAATTATTTATAACTACATTACATTTACAGATAAAAATGCGTGCTTTTTTCCACTGAAAACTTAACAGAGTGGGTCGCCAAGGGACGTTAAGTAACTTAACATCTCGCTAATCACACTTGTATGCGATTCCATAAGCACCTAATCCAATCATGTGTTTGGTGTCTATTCTGAAACATTAGAAATTGCATCGCGGTTACATCTATTTTTCTATTTATCTCATCATCCAATTAGAGATGAATCCTTATATATCTGGACTAAATAGTAAATGGAAATATTTACTTCTACTGAAATTACGTGGTCGGTAAACATATTTTTATTTTTTTATCTTAAAAATAATTTTGTTCTCAAAAATTATGATTTTAAAAGTTGATTGTTTGATATTCCTGCTCGCTACATCAACAGCTGATTTAGGATATTCAATTGATTTCAAGGTCATATCCGCAGTTATCTTCTCATCACTGATAACCTAGACAATATAGCTGTGCATCGTAGCAGAGGATTACCAGAGGTCAATACTACAGTTGGATCATTCAGTGTTTACAACATAACAAACCAATTATCAAATCAACAAAATTAACAATTTCAAGAATTAACAAATAAATTAAAAAACGATTAACAAATTCACGAATCAACGAATTAAAAAATTAACGAAAAAATGAATTAACGAATAAATGAGAAAACAAAAAAATGAATTAACGAATTCACGGATTGACAAATCAATGAATAAATGTATTAATGAATGAATTAAAAAATAAATGAATGAAAGGATGATTGAATGAATGAATAATAAAATAAAAATAAATAAATTAGTGAATAATTACATAAAAGAATAAATGAATAAGTAAATAATGAATAAATGAATGAATGAAAGGATAGATGAACAGATGAATGAATGAATAAATGACTAACTAAAAAAAAATAATTAATGAATGAATGAATAAATAAATGAATAAATGAATGAATGTTGGAATGAATGAGTGAATAAATGAATGAATGAATGAATAAAAGGATGAATGAATGAATGAATAAATAAATAAATAAAAAATTAATTAATTATTGAATGAATAGGTGAATAAATGAATGAATGAATGAAAGATTAATTTATCAATGAATGAATGAATAAATAAATAAGTAATACAAATTATTGAATGAATGAATAAATGAATAAATGAATGGATGAATTAATGATAGAATGAATAAATGGGTAAATGATTAAATGAATGAATGAATGAATGAAAGAATCCCTGTCTCCAACATATCTCTGAATGAGGCAATAAACTCTTTCCCTGTTAACCCTGCTTTCTCCTCCACCATTCCTCTGAGTCCTGTACATTATTATCATTGAATATCATCACAACATTAATTGGTTTAATTGGTGTGTTTATGTTTATACATCACGAGTGTGATAATTTAATACATCTCTTTCCGACTTCATTGGCCGTTCAGGAATTCAGCCAGTTATCAAGCTTGTTTTTGAAAATGTTCAGGTTTCCAGCACTTTTGATTTCATATGGAATATCATTCCATATACTGATATTTCTTGCACTAAACAAGTTTCTTCGTATTATCATTATTATCATTGTATGTAACCACAATTATTATTATTATTATCATTGTATATAATCACAACATTATTATTATTATCAATGTATATAATCACAACATTATTATTATTATCATTGTATATAATCAAAACATTATTATTATTATCATTGTATTTAATCAAAACATTATTATTATTATTATCATTGTATATAATCACAACATTATTATTATTATCATTGTATATAATCACAACATTATTATT